CTTTTGTCCTCGAGGCCATGAAGAATAATCTCCTATAGCCTAGAAGTTTTATAGTTTTGACTTTAACATTGAAGCCCATACAACCCCAACCTGAGTTTTCTGAATGACATGACATATGATATAGAGTTCGAGTTCTCCTCCTCTCTCTCCCCCATCTGTGCCTAACAGCCCGGGCTCTGCTCATCACATGCCTTCTGTAATATATTGAGCATCCATGTGTGTATGTCCCTGTTTCTCATTTTTTCATTTTGTTTCATGGACATATAACTTTTTATGGAAAGAGGATAGACTTAAAGACAGTTCTGAGGCTGGGGTTACCCATGGTATCAGTGGGCATTTGTCCAGCACTCGACAGCAGTGGGTCCCTGAGAGTGAAGCAAGGATGAAGAGCTAAGAGATGAGAGACACCTTTACAAGTGAGAAAGTTAAAAAAAAAAAGATGCTATCTAGCTATGGCAAGAATTAGTGAAATGGGTACCCGTACACTGCATGTGAAAACTGGTTAAAGATTTTTGAAGAGAGATGTGCCAATATATACTAATAACTTACACTATTTGCTTTAGCAATTTCATTTCTGGGCACCTACCCTAAGGAGATACTTTAAAAAGCACAGAAAGTTCCACACAAAGGTTTTCACATTATTTATAAGAATAAAAAATTGGAAACCTTTGAAATGTCCAGTCAGACTGGTGTTTAAGTAAATGATGATGCATCCATACAATGGAATATTATATAAAACCCAGAATAACGTTTGTGATGAGATTTTTTAAATATGAGGAAATGTTTCTGTTACACCTCTAAGAGGGAGAGGGGAAAAAGGAAGATGTTAAGTCATATTCAGAGGGTGCCAAAAAATGTATACACATTTTAAGACAGAAAACAATTGTATTAAAACTGTAATACTCAATATATAACAATAACAAAAGATGAATTCAAGTCATGTGTATAAGTATACGGGTTTTTTTTTTGGCACTCCTGGTATATAGTACAATCCCAAATAAGTAAGTGAAACTAGATGAGTTACAGGTATTTTTCAGCTTCTATATTCCCCTTCCTTTGCTTTGCTGGATTAAAAAAAAAACCCTGACATAGTACAGATTCCCTGTAAGTAGTTAAACTAGAGAGGAATATGTAGAAATGTATAATAGTTATTGCTCTTCCAAAGCCCCTCCACAGCACAGGTAAACATGCTGACAATTTAGCATGATTCCTTCCACTCCTTTCTCTTGGAAGGAAACTCAAATGTATGAAATGAAATGAAAAAATCCTTGCTATAGACAATAAACAGGTGTGGACTGGGGAAACCTGGAGAATAAAAGCACTGTTTGCTCAAAACTCAATGACCCATCAAACCCATTTAGGGGCTGAATACAGCCCACTGACCACCAGTTTTCACACAAACATTCTAGATCAGGTATTATTATTTTTAAACAGCTTTATTGAGATACAATTTACACACCATAAAATTCACCCCTTAAAATTAATCATTTAAAAGGTTTTTAGTATATTTGTAGAGTTGTGCATCTATTACCATAATCTAATTTTGGAATATTTTCATCCCAAATAGAAACCTTGTACCATTAATAATCACTCCCCATTCCCCATCTCCAACTTCCAGCCCTAGGCAATCCCTAATTTACTAATCTGTGTCCATAAATTTGTCTATTCGGACATTTCACATAAACAGAATCATACACTATGTGGTCTTTTATAAATGACTTTTTTTCATTTAGCAGAATGTTTTTGAGGTTCATCCATGGTTTAGCATATATCTATGGCTCATTACTTTGTAATGTCAAATAATATTCCATTGTATGGCTATACCACATTTTATTTATTCATTCATCAGTGAATGGAATTTTGGTTGTTTCCATTTTTGGGTTACTATGAATAATATTACTATAAATATTTGTCTACAATTTTGTGTGTGTGGGTAGAAATATGTTTCCATTACTCTGATACCTAGGAGCAGAGGTCATAGGTTAACTCTTTAAGATTTTTGAGGAACTGCTACACTGTTTTCCAAAGTGGCTGCATAATTTTACATTCCCACCAGCAGTGTGTGAGTTTCTCCACATCCTTGGCAGCACTTGGTATTATCTGTCTTTTTTATTCTATCTATCCTAGTGCATGTGAAGTGGTATCTCATGGTCCTTCCAATTTACACTTTCCTGATGATGAATAGTGTTGAGCAACTTTTCATGTGCTTATTGGCCATTCATACATTTTCTCTGGAGAAGTGTTTATTCATTCCTTTTTATGGCTGAAACATATTCCATTATATAGATACACCACTGACATTCATCAGTTGATGGACATTTGGTGGCTTGTATTCATCTTTTGGCTATTATGGATAATGCTGCTATAAACATTCATGTGAAAATTTTTATGTGGACATATGTTTTCATTTTTCTTGGGTGTATGCCTGGTCTGGGATTGCTGGATCACATGGTAACTCTCTAATAGTATGAGGAACCTCCATACTGTTTTCCAAAGCAGCTGCACCATTCCCACCAGCAGTGTATGAGGGTCTTGATTTCTCCACATCCTTGCCCACACTTGTTATTTTATTCCATTCTGTAGGTTGTCTTTTCATTTTCTTGAGGATATCCTTTGAATCATAAAAGTTTTAAAGTTTGATGACATCAATTTATTTTTATTTTATTGCTTATGCTTTTATTGTCATATCTAAAAATCCTTTGCCAAATCCAACGTCATGAAGGTTTACCCATGTTTTCTTCAAAGTTTTATAGTTTTAGCTCTTTCATTAGGTATTTTATCCATTGTAAGTTAATTTATGTATGTGGTGTGAGGTAAGAATCCAACTTGATTCTTTTACATGTGGCTATTCAGTTGTCCCATTTGTTGAAAAGACTAGACTTCCTCCAATGAATTTTCTTACCACCTCTGTTGAAAATTAATTGACCATAAATATAAGGGCTCATTTCTGGACACTCAATAATATTTCATTGGTCTATACGATGTCTATCTTTATCTCAGTACCACACGGTTTTGATCACTGCAGCAGCACAGTAATTTTGATATTGAGAAGTGTGAGTCCTTCAACTTTGTTTTCTTTTTTTCAAGACTGTTTTTACTATTCTGGGTTCCTTGCATTTCAATATGGATTTTAGGATCTGCTGGTCAATTTCTGCAAAAAGTCAGCTGGGATTTTGATACGGATTGTGTTGAATTTAGACATCACTTTGGGAAGTATTGTCGTTTAAACAATATTAATTCCTCTGGTCCATGATCATGACATGCCTTTCACCTTGTCTGGATCTTTTTTAATTACCTTCAACAATGCTTTGTAGTTTTCATTGTACAAGTCTTGGACTTCTTTTGTTAAATTCATTCATAAATATTTTATTCCTTTTCATGCTAAATTGAATTGTTTCTTTTCATTTTCATATTGTTGCTTGATACCATATAGAAAAACAATTGAATTTTTAACAGTATCTTGTATCCTGCAACCTTGCTGGTTTATTAGTTCCAATAGTTTTTTGGTGAATTCCTTATAATTTTCTATATGGCAATAGTTTTTCTTGTTGTTCTTTTTTTTTAAATTTGGGAGACATTTATTTACTTTCCCTTATCACCATTAGTTGATAAACCTTATATCACCTCAGGAAAACATAATACTGTTGAGTGACTGTTACATCCTATGGAAAACTTCCATCTTTGGTCATAGCATTAAGAGCTCCTGATTTTGATCCCACAATTACTCATTATTCTTCAATGTGGCTGCCTTTTTATTTCTCTTGCCTATCTGCCCTGACTAGTCCCTCCAGTAGGACGTTGAATAGAAGTGGTAAAAGTTGACATTCTTATCTTGTTCCCAGGTGTTAAGAGGAAAGCATACAATCTTTCGCCATTAATTATGATGTTAACTGTGAGTTTTTTTAGATGCCCTTTATCAGGTTGAGAAAGTTCCCTTTAATTCCTACTTTTTGAGTTGTTGTTTTTTTTAATCTAGAAAGAGTATTGGATTTTGCTTAATGTTTTCTTGTGTGTTTATTGAGATGATCATGTTTCCTTGTTCTTTACTCTATTGGTAGGTATATTACATTAATTGATTTTTGGATGTTAAACCAACCTTGCATATTTGAGATAAATCCTAACTGACCATATTATATGATACCTTTTATATGCTGCTGAATTTGGTTTGCTAGTATTTTATTGAAAATGTTTGCATTTATATTCATAAGTGCATAGTTTTCTTTTTTAATGATGTTTTTTTACTAGCTTTGGTATAATACTGGTCTCATATAATGAGTTAAGACTTGTTCCCTCCTCTTCAATTTTTTGTAAGATTGGAATGAATTCTTTAAATGTTTGGTAGAATTTGCCTGTGAAGCCATCTGGGCCTGAGCTTTTCTTTGTGGGAAGTTTTAAAATTACTAATTCAGTCTCTTTGCATGTGGTTGTTCTATTCAGATTATTTTGTCTTGAGGCAGTTTTGAGTCAGCCTTTCCAGGAATTTGTCCATTTCATCTAAGTTATCTAATGGTTTGATATATAGTAGTTCATAGTATTCTCTTGTTCATTTTAATTTCTGTGAGTTGGTATCAATGTTCCCTCTCTTATTTCTAATTTTACTAATTTTGTGTCCTCTCTTTTTTCTGTTGGCTAGAGATTTGTCAGTTTTGTTCTGCATTATGTATCACTTTTATAAGCAATTTATTATCAGGAGACATAAAAAGTGAGGGGTAATCCTTGCAATAGGAGGTGGGTGAATACCAAGATAAGTTCAAGCTTTTGCTGCCCCATTTCTCCTAAATGCCAACATGGTTGATCCCAGGTTTTTCCCATACTCCCTTCACCATCTCTGCCTGGAGGGGTGGTCAGGTGGAGCTTCTGGACCACAGGGAGTTGGTGCCTTGGTCATCACTTACCAACACTGGTGGATCAGAAGCTGTGGGCAGGGTTATTTCATACCATGCCCCCAAGACAGAAAAAACCACGATCTCATGGCCATTTGATCTGATGTCACCACTCACCTATATTGTTTTTGTCGTGTTTCCAGTTCTTTACGTCTGTGCTGCTTGAGAATGTGAATTTGGTCATCGCAGGCCAACTTTGCTGTGAGGAAAGGACAAATGTGAGAAGAGCCTGAGGAAGAAGGAGAACAACGTCTGATACTCAGATTTCCCTCAGATACCCTGACCATGCTGAGTGCTTTACATGTATCATTTTATGTAAGCTCAGAACACTCCACTATTTATATCAAATGGGGCTCAAGGACGTTGAATGGCTTTTCCCTTGAACTTTACCAAAGGTCAAACACTCAATAAGTGGATTTTCAACACAAGAGTAAAATCCCATGTTCTTAGTCGCTCCTTTTACGAAAGACAAATCCAGTCTTTCTCTCCTGTCTGCTCACTCAGCAAGCCTGGGGGCCCTGCACCTCTGGGCCGAGAATTTCCAGATGCATGAGCCAGGCTTGGTTCTCATCAGGCTTTACGGGGACAGGCCGATGATTCCCTCCCTCCCTCCTGCAGGGACAGGGTTTGTCCATCTCTGGCCTGCCTGTGGGTTTCCAAGTGAGGGCTCTAACCTTCTGCTCAGACCCCAGGACACTGCCTCTGTCAGAAAACCTGGGCCCCTGGTGCAAAGCTGCCTTTCCTCTCTTGGTGGATTTCTTTAAACCACTGCAGAGTACTTCACTGCTCTTACCCCTGCAATTCTCTTGCAGAACAAAAATGGCAGCTGACAGAAGTCTTCCCTGTTGCCTGAGACAGCAGCAGAGACTCATGGCTCTTGTGTTTCTAAGTGCAATTGGCTGCTTCCTGGAGACATGTGTGACTTAAGATCCAACATACAGATGCCGACCCTGTCCAGTTCCCTGTGGTGCCCACAGAGAGGAATGAGAATGAAGCTTAATTTTAAAATAATATGTAGTATCCTAGCATGTGGGCTTTAGAAGAGATACACATGGGTTTGGGTGTGGACTTGGGATCTGTCACTCAAAACTGTGTGACCTGTAGTAAGTTGCCTTGGCTTCCTTACAGCTGAAATGGAGATAATAATGCCTATTTCTAGGGTTACGGTGGGGAATCTAGGGAAAGAATGCAATAAAGCACTCCACAGCACTTGGCACCCAGTAACTGACCAGTAAATGGGAACAGTGGTTGTTATCCTTATAATCGTAATGGACCTGAGCCTCCTCTTCCTCCTTCTGAGCCAGGAAAGGCATCTATTCTCTCATTTCAGAAGTGGGGCAGGTGGCCAAGGGCAGGGGTGGGAGAGGGATCATGATCACCCTGTCCACTATTGTTTAAGATAAAGCTGGTGAACACAGTCAAGGGAGCCTGAGTGGCAGGAATTCCAGGGCTTCTCCTGAAAAGGGGCCTAGAATAGTGCTTCTCCAGCTCTCTGTAGTGAAAGGCCAATTTTTTTTTATAAGATTTTTATTGGGGAATTGGGGGGATGGGAACAGTGCTGGGGAATTGGGGGAAGGGGAACAGACAAGTTGCTGTCCTTTTGTTCTTGAGTCTAGTTGTGGAGGACGTTGCTTCACAGGCCCAAGTTGGCACCATCATTGCGCTCTTCCCGGGCGAGGCAGATCAGTTGCCGGCTTCTGGACGGCCGCTCACTGCGGCTGCTGGCCGCTCATGCTGGCTGCTGACTACACACGGTAGCCCATGGCAACCCACTGCACCAGAGGCTGCAGCCTACGCCGACGTCGGCGACTCAAGGCAGCCCAGCTCCAGGTTGAGCTGTTGTTCAGCATCTTAGCTGTGGAGGGCAGTGTCACTGGCCCTCATATGTGGGATCCGAACCGGGACCCTCTGGCATCCCAAGCCAGTTCTTAACCATCGCGCCACTCGGCCGGCCCAAGGGCCAATTTTTATAACTTCCGTTCCATCACACACTGATAGTTTTGTAAAATACAATAAAAATGAACTACTGGGAAAATGAAAAAACAAACCAAAGACATCCAAAATACAAGCCCTGTTTTTATTATCAGATGCAACAGTCATAGACTTATTCTGGAAAGTTGCTCTAAAACTTCATAAATGCCTACTCTCTGTCTTTGTACTTGCCTCACTGCAGACCAGCCCCCAACAGTTCTTAGTCCACACTCCTATGGAACGGCCACCACAAGACAGAGGAAATTTTGTGACCTTTTTCCTGCCTGAGGTCGGGGGACAAAAATCCCTTTAGCTGTAGTCATTCAATTCAGGAATATTCTTGGAATTTGGTTTTTTCTCTTCCTTCCTTCCCTCCTTCCTTCCTTCCTTCCTTCCTTCCTTCCTTCCTTCCTTCCTTCCTTCCTTCCTTCCTTCCGCCACAGTATGAAATTTATTGGGTTTATTTATTAAATAATTCATATATATCCAACATCACTGAATGAAAATAATGTTAGTTGGTTTTTAAAACAATAGCAAGTCTTCCACTGGGGTCTTTCAAGAAAGTCAAAAACTTATTGGTGGCTGTATCTTTAACAAATGGAATGACCAAACTAGGGAAGTCAGATGTATATCAATTAGCTCCTAAACTCAATATTGCCAACATGTTTCTACTTAAAAAGCACACAAAAAGCAAAGCTTCATAATTTACTGTGTTTCTTGGATTTTGTTTTTAAATGCCACATGAAGATATTTGATGAAAGGAAGAAAAGCACCTAATCTCAGCAGTCTTCTTAAAAACCTTAAGTTTACTTTCATAATATCATTATAAATATTCAGATCCCCATCTGATGGATTTCTTCACTTATGTGAGTAGGAATGCACTTAAAATCTTAAGTCTTTATTCCTGCTTCATACTATAGTTGTTTGATTAAATTACCAGTAAAATCCCTCTGTATTGGCTGGACTGAATCACTAAATAAGAATTCATTGCAATCTCTTCCAAGAAACCAAGATAACCTCAATATAAATTTTGCTGGCCAACATGTTACAGTACTAAGGATACTTTGTTTTCTAATGGTAAGTATGTTGAAAATTCATCATTAATAAGTGAATTTCTTAACACACATAGAAATAAATGTATCTATTACATCCATACATTGTCTTCACTATTCTCAATGACTTTAAATATAAAATCTAATTATACAAAGTCAAAACTCTTTGCCTGATTTAACCGTGTATACCCAATAGTATAAGTGATCAAGATGAAAAACATTTTAATAAATCTCATAATAAGAACCTTGGATGCCACTTTGCATTAGTGATAGCAGAAAAAGGTGAGAAAGGAAATAACATATTTTTCAGTGATTTTAAAAGAAAGAAAAGCTTTAAGAAAAAATTCCTTTGGGCTCTATAGCCTTTTATTATTACTATTATTGTTATTATTACTATTATTATTATTATTATTACTCTGCACCTTTCTCTGCTTCAACATAATGGGAAAAAAAAGAATTTAGCCAGGAAGGGAATCAAGCATTTATAACATATATTTATTATTTTCTGACCAAAGCACAGTGATTTTTAAATCTTCTTTAACAAATAACTATGAAAAAAATAATTCAAGAAAATAAAATACAAATAAAAATTTAACCATTAGATTTCTTCCACTTCATACTAATTTTATATTTAGTCTAGAAAGCAAACCAACAAACAAACAAAAAACCATTTTACTGTAAATCTAGTACATGAATTTCAAGGTTCCACTGCTAGGAATTCTGTTAAGATCAGTTTGATCATTAATAACACTATATAATAGAGCATAAGAAACACATGTCATTAGATGTGATCCTTGCCTCTTATTCTTAGATTTGTGTCAGAATAAAACTGACAGTTTTGCCAGGCTCTAAACCCCCAGTGCCTCCATCCCAATTCCCGGAAGCAAAGGCTGCTCCCTATCACACAATTTTGTACAAGTTGTAGTCAAATGAAGCCTAAGTTTTCTTACCTTTCTATAGGTAACGATCAGTTATTTGATAAATACTATAACATTTCTAGGAATTCACTCTATAAGTTTGTTTAACAAACATGTTGTGCAAGAACTGACTACACAAAAAGCTTCTTTGGAATTTGGTCCATAAATTCACTTAACAGGTTGGAAATTTGAAACCTGCAAGAAAAAGAGGAAGTATGGAATCCCTAATCCTGAGAAGTTGTAATTACTAAAGGGATATACACATATACTAAAAGATTTTGCTCAGAGCAGACAGAAATTATAAAAGGGATATTCTTTTTGAATAAAAACAAAGAACTGTCTAATATCCTTCTTTGTTTTGTGAGGACCATAGCTAGGATGAAGTTACACCCGAATTCACTGACTACTCCTGTGACAAAAATAAATAAATAAAAATAAAGATAAAAAACTTAATTTGTGTTAATTTCTAGCCATTAATTGTGATGTAATTATACTTTAAAATGTCATAAGTATTGTTCCTTTTTATTGTGTTTGACTTTTGATGATCCCCGTCACCAATTGGTGAAAATTAAATAGACATGTTTTTAGGTATTAATCAAATACATTTTAGTGCTAAACTGTATAAAGCAGAATATCTATATCTATATCTAAATATGCCTTAAAAGGGATTGTGATAGCAGCTATATCAAAGCAATATTCAAGCATGATTTCAAGGATGCTTTAAAGTTTATAGCTAGCCTTCTTTGTCAAAAATCTTCACAACTTCATAAAAAATTTGATCAGATTTAGAAGCATCTGTTTTCTTGACTTTCCCCATTTCTTCATATAAGTCAATAGTTGGCTTTGTTGACTAAAGATAGGTTTGAATTCTCTTTTTCAAGCCCTCCCTGTTGTCATCACTCCTGCCACTGCTCTTTCCCCTCTCAAGACATGGTTCACTACAGATCTCATTATTACAATCAAACAGAATTAAAGATACTTCTGTCTTCCCATCCATGGTCTTGTTCCAACATTGACGGTTGTCTTGATTACTTGGAAACCCATCAATCGAGAATTTATTCCTAAGGGGCCAGTCAAATGGTTCAGTTGGTGAAGAGTGTCAGCTCTGAGCAACAGGGTCACCAGTTCGATTCCCACATAGGCCAGTGAGCTGTGCCAGAGCTGAGATGCCGCTGAGCTGCCAACAGGTGGCAGGATGGCTCAGCTGGTGAGAGCACCTGCTCCTAAAAACAAGGTTGTCTGTTTGACTCCTGTATGGGATGGTGGGTTACGCCCACCCACAACTAAGATTGAACACTTTGAGCTGGGCGGCTGCCAGCTGCTGACTGGCGGCCTGATGGCAACTGGACTTGGAGCTGAGCTTGCTGCACCCTCCACAACTAAGATTGAACTTGGCTGTTCCCTCTCCCCAATTTCCCAATACTGTTCCCCTTCCCCAATTCTCCAATTAAAAAAAAAAAAGAATTTATTCCTCTGAGCACTGACAGCCATTGTCTGATCCATTTCCTGCTTTAGCAAATGGATGGTTGTCTCAGCTGGCACAATCTTTCCATCTTTAATGTACTTTTCAGTGAGTTCACCATACTGTGAATCTGGGTTCTTCCCTTCATCACGAAATTCTCCTGCAGAAAGGTGTGTGTAGTCATATTTATCGACGATGCAGGTACACTGGGTCCCCTTGCTGGCGCCAGGACCACCGAGGACGAACACGACCAGTGGCTTCTTGAGTGGGTAACGGCAGACGAAAAGCGGCCGGCGGGTCAGTAGCGGGAAACTAAGGCCCAGGACGTGCAGCAGCCAGTGGCCACAGAGGTTCAGCAAACACAGCGTCTCGGCCGTCGCTGGTAAGCTGACAGCAACCAGGTGGGCAGAGGTGCGGGGCGGGGCGGCGAGAAGGGGGCAGGCCGAGCGGGCGCCTAGGCGTCCGTGCCCTGGCGTTTGGTTTCTTAAGTTAAATTCCATGTCAGAAACAATGGGATGTAGCCTGATAGTTTAAGAACACCTGGTAGAGAAGAATTATTTTCTCCTTCGTCTTGGCTTCCTTAGCTAAAAATTGGGGGTAATAATCATTCTCGTTTTATCTACCCCGCTGAACTTCCGTGAAGAACAAAGGAAGTAGTGATAGAAAATGCGTTGTAACCAGGAATTGCCAAACGGCGCCGCTGATAGAAGCAGCTGTTGACCTCCTTCTCATTCTAGTGGATGCACAGCATCTGAAGGTTTATGTTCCGATTTAGAGTGTGAGCAAACCGAAGGACAATGACTTGAAGTCAGGTAAACTTTTGCTGAGGCAGGCACGTGACTCATGCATGCTAAGAGGCTGGTGTGGAGGGGAGTCGTTCACACAGCTAGCAGCCTTGGCTGCCCTCTGCCCTCTGCTTCTCTCTCTCCTCCATATCATTCCAGTTGTGTCTCTTAGGAAGAATAGCTTCCTGAGGAAGTGTCAGATGGTTCTGCACATTTGAGGGTCTTGCTTTGGAGAGCAGATTTTAGGTTCTTTTCTCTTTCAGCAAAACGTGGGACTTTAGGTTTAACAACTGGTTACTGTGCAGACCAGGCCTGCGCATAGCCCCTCTGCATGGGGACCCTGGAGTACAAGCCCTACTGTGACCTGACAGGGCAGTGTGAGCCTGGGTGTCTGACATCTGAAGAGCTGCTCACTTAGGGCTACACCTCGTGGGTATTTGATGCCACGGAGCCTAGTTACCGTCTGACAAAAAGGGGTCATAATCTTCCCTCTGAATGACTGTAGCTCAGAGATAGGACTTGGCTGGCTGTGTGCCTGGAGCCTCTCACCGCCACCCTCTGAGCCTGGGGCTTATTAATGTTCAGAGGAAGGTCACACCCCCTGCAGGTGCTTCCAGGCACAGGGCACTGCCTAACTACTGACTGTGACATTGTTATATTCCCATGGATACAGTTCTCTGAGGAAAGGGAGGCCTGCAAGCCCTCTCCATTTCTGGGAAGCCCAGGGAGTAGAAGGAGCTAAGCCACTCACCTCGTCCATCTCTCAGGACGATCTCGCCCTCGCCGGCAATCCAGCGGTAGCAGGGGAACTCGATGTAATCCCCGTAGGGTGTCTTCAGCGTGACATACTTCAGGTACCAGTTGTCATGAAGCCAGTACTTGCGCTTCTCGATTTTGACCAGCTGGATGTCACCCAGTTCTTCATCCACTGTCACATCGTAAGAATCAACCTGAGAAGGAGAAAAGGCCAATTAGACCCTCCGAGGTCTCCCGAGCCTGTATTACCCTGAATTCATTTAGCCAACCTGTCTGCCCAGTGCCGGCCTTTGGCAAGGCTGTGTGCTGCACCTGCTCTGTGGCTTTGGCATGACCTGTGTGTCTGCAGCTCTCACTGTTAGACGGAAGGAAGGGTGAGCAGCTCAAGCACTGCACTGGGCCTTTCAAAGACCAGCAGGTTTGGGGAGCCCTAGACTCCATGCTTTCCCAAGCCACTTTCTAAGCCAGATTTCACCAATCCTTGAGCTTTTTCCTTGGTGACAGAACCTACAGTTCTCTTCGTGCTAGTGAAGTAAAGGGAGGGCAGGCATGTTCATTCTGCATGCAACCCCAGGCGTCCATATCTCCATCCATCTCCCACCAAAGCTGCCAGCAGAAGCCTGGGAGGACTTTATAAGGAGAATGGGAAGTAGGGTATTTTCAGCAAACTTCATGGGTTCTGAACACAGTGAGCAGATTGCATGTTGTGGTTGCCACAGATACCAGACACATGTGGTTAGAAAGCAGAAGCCTCTTCCTTGTGCCCTGTGGTCTGAGCCTGGGTCCTGAGGACTGAGGAACCAGGCATGTGTGTGGAATGACACTTCTCGGTCCCTAACAGGTGTACAAGCACATCTGTCCTGCCAGAATGCCTCATTCTTCAGGGCTTAAGAACCCTCCTGCCCCAGAGCATATCCTGTGGGAGAGCAGTGGCTAAAGACAAGGTCACAGGAAACACTGACCCCCATAGCCTGTGGGACCTAAGGATGGGGCCTTTCTGATTTCTAGGGAGAAGCCATCAGGCCCTGGTGCAGAGTTGGGAGAGGATCCCAATGGGCGCTGGATGACCAGAGGAGCTGGGAGAAGGGAGAGGAAAGGAAGGATATATCTCTGACTGGGTGGCTTCTGGGGGTGGGAAGAGGAGAGGGATCCCTGAGCTGAGGCATCAGTGGGCCAGAGCGGGAAGGTTCTAATGGGACAAGAAGCCCACTCTGGGCCCTGCCTGCCATGGGCGGGGGTCTGCGGAGACCTCAGCTCTCACATGAGGCCAAGACAGAGATTCCCACAGGAGTGGGGGGAGTGCAGTGAGGGGCAGAGGGCGAGGTGAGTCAGGTGTCAGGGCAGCATGGCCAGTCTTAGGGGGTGCCAAAGTGACTGACCCTGGACTTCAGCAAATTGCTTCACTGAGGCTGTTTCTTCATCTATCAAGGGGAGGTAATGCCTAGCAGTCAGGTCCATTGAGAAATTCAAATGGCATGATGCCTGAGTAGGCTCCTTTCTCCATGGCGCAGGCTGCTGGTGGCTGTGTACATCAGACCACCTAGTCCTCCCTCCTTGACTCCTGGGGATGTGGCAGGGCTGTGTGGTCACAGGGCAGCAGGCCCCACACTGCCTGCAAGCAGCCATGAGCTAGCATGGGCCCCTTCACTGAGGTCCTTCCTGACTACATGCCAAACTGAATAGCCAGAAGTAGATGTGGGAAGAAGACCTTAAGCCCATGAGGCATTTTATGTGCTGGCAGTATTGGCTGAGCAAAGGGAAGTCAGCTTGTGGTGAGGCCTGGGTCTGGGATGGAGGTGGCTGCTGCAGGGGAAGTGGCTTTCCTGTGGCTCTAAAGGAGACAGAGGGGCCTGAGGGTGTTGGGGGGTTGATGCCAGAAAGGCTGTGGCAGAGAGGAGAGGAAGGCCATTCTAAAGGCACAGGTGTCATGAGCAACTGAGGTGGCCACTCTTATAGGAAGGAGGATCCCAGCACCTTGGAATGCAAAGGAAATAGAGATGGGGCTCAAGGAGCCTCTCCAGGACTGGAAAGTGAGGGCCAGATGTCCAGCTGGGGGTGGTGAGTGACAAGGAAGAGAAGGAACAGCTTCTCAGAGGGAAGGGAGACCAGCGTCACCCTTCAGCACACCTGTGGTGCAATCACAGGAGAAAGGGGCCTACCAGGTCCTCCTCCCCTACCTACCACTACAGGCCTGGCCGAGGGCTTTGGAGTGTCACCTGAGGTAAACTGATTCAACATGCTATTTGACAGGGTCTTTGGCACGGGATGAAGGACAGACCTACCCATCTGGCTTGTATTTGACTGGTCCTGGCTTCCAGCCCAGACTTATAGGACATGAACGAGGGTCTGTGGAGTTCAGTCCCACCTGAATCAGTAAGTCTTTACAGACAAAGTCTAGTGGCTGTGACTCTGGCATCCAAAGAAGCCACTACTGGAGAGTCACAGAGGATAGAGAAAGGCCTTCAGGAAGACTGCAGGGTTCTGTGCACCAAACAGCAAATTCAGGTCTTAGGAAGGTGCACAGGGCTATGCGGTATGCAGCCCTTCCTCCCTCCTCTCTGTGGGCCCGTACACTGGGCCGCTGCTGTGTGTGTTGTCTATGTGCCCGGACACATTGAATTCTCGTGTCCATTCTGCACAGCAGACACTATCAACAGTGAGTGGCCCATAACAGGCTCTCAATAAATACTGCGTGGATGGGTCCCATTTTACTGAGGCTCAGAGAGGTCTGGCAGCTGCCATGCCAGTGAGTAATTGTGGCCCCATGATTAGAATCCACACCTGTGATGGCCAAAACCAGGTTCTTCCCACTGTGGCCCATGACCTCATAATGGGAAAAGCCCTGGACTGGGAACCAACGACCTGGCTCTGAGCCCCAGTTCAAACCATTGATGGAGTATGAAGGGGCAACCTGGGTGGGATGGAAAACTTGCTGAGATATGGCATTTGAGGCTGCTCTTAGGAGTTCATAAGATTTCAGAGGTGAGGTGAGTGGGAGAGGGATGGGCAAGGCATTTTGAATGCCCGAAGTGGGTAGGAGGCAGCTGGAGCATGGAGCTTCTTGGAGCAGAGGGGCAGGTATTGTAGTCAGATGCTGGAAAGAGACATGGAGCCAGGAAAACATGCCACTCACCAGTCTCATTTCACAGAAGGGTCACTTGGTTGATTTCACTCATTGTTCTCAACTGTTCTTTGAATATTTCAGTGAAGTGTTAGTTGGCCAGTTTTCATTTGATCTTAATATCAGCATTTTAAGAAAGGTTTCATTTGTATTGCCCCAGATCCCTCACTGGAGCAAGGGCAGGGGAAAGTCAGGGTGTGGTCCAGCCTGGGATGCCGGTCTCGGAGGGGGCTGATAAGGGGCTGGTGGGGGTGGGAGAGGAGAAGAGGAGGCTGTGAAGTAGAGAGACAGGAAGGAAAATGGTGGACAAGGGAGAGACTGGCGCAGAGAGGGAGAAAGGGGGCAGGGAATGGGGGAGCAGGGGAAAATGGGAAACAGCAGAAGGGAGAAAGGAGGGCAGAAAAGGAGAAATGGGGGACTTCGGGGAACTTGGGAAATAGGAAGTAGAGGAAGGAAGAGAAGGAGGAAGAGGAGGCTAAATGTACAGAAGAGAGGGGACAGAGAGCAAAGACTGGGCGATACAGATTGAGGGTCAAAAGAAAATGGTTATTCTTCATTCATGTATGCTGAGAAGGAGGTATTCTAGAATGTATTCTCCATTAATATATTATAAGAATATTCACTGAATATATTTAAGAAGTATATGTAGTTGTAATAATTGTTTACACTTACTGAATATATTCAAGGACAATATATTAAACATCACTCTATTGCCCTTAGCTTTCCTAAAAGTGCTGTCATGGAATAAAAATGGGTCAAGCAAGATTTCCCAAAAAATCTTCATGTCTGTTAAAGTCATCCCATCTAAACTGAATTACTTTAAATGGACAGAGTTAAAGAAACACATCAATTTGTTAACTTTGCCTAGATGTGGACTAGTCTCTGGGCTCTTGGGGTCACCAGTCTGGCTTTTCCCAGCTGACAGTGAGGAGCCAATGCAGCAGTGACTGTTTAAAAGAGAACCTCATCTGCCAAGGCCTCTGACTCCCAGGCCTGTTCTGGATCACTACGCAGAACCCTGATGAGAAGAACCAGGGACTTGTGACTTGAGGAAAATCAGTCCTGTCCATTATTTGACTGAATTGTGCCAGGAGGAGTGGGGGTGTTGACCTGCCAATGACCAGGAAATGATTGAATTGGTGGTCTGGAAATAGTCTTTACTGTTACTGTTATTAACCATGATTGTAACACTTTTTGAGTAAAATGGGCTAGCTTTACCTTCTCAGCTAGTATTTCCTCTTAAGTTTTCTCCTTCACCTTTACCCAAAAGGAATGGACTGTACTTAAAAATCATTGGCTGGAAAATGAGGAAGTAGGTCTGGGCAGTGCAAGACAGTGTGGAGCAATAGCATCAACAGGAACTTTCTCAAAAGCTGCGTTTTATCAGAGCCTTTCAGACAGAGCCAGCTGGGTCCCTGCAGCACAGCAGCCCCTCCTGACTTGCCCTCTCTCACCCCAGCACAAATGGGACATGCAAATCTCTCCTGAAATTTTTTGCTTCAGGGCACTCACTGAGGTGTTTAATCACCATGGCATTTGACAGAAGAGAAGGAGGGAAATGAACAGAAGAGTGCTTTCATCCCTCTTCCAACAACCCATTATGGCCACACCACAGGGTCTCTTCCCTGGAGAAGCCACATTTGGGGTGCCCCATGCCACACAGCGAGCACACTGATGTGTTTAGTGTGTGGAGGGGAACAGGGCCCACTGTGGCCCACTTATAAAGGGGAAGTATCTGTATCTTGTCCTCCTCCCTGAGGTGTTGGGGGAACCCATGCAATAACAGAAATAAATGAAGGTGATTCAGAAGTGGCAGAGGATGTCAACATCCCAAATGGATGATTCATTAGCCCTACTGCAACACGGTCCTCAGAGCCAGCCCCCTGATTGGGGAAACCAAGTGATAGGAGGTTGTTCCTATACTCAATACCTAACTCTTCTTGGAGGGATCTCATGCCAGGCTAATGTGCTGCACTTGGCTTAGGGCTGAGCTGGCTTACAGCCAGATTCTGAGGCTTTAGGGTAGGAATCAAGCCCACCTTGAGTTTGGAATCTGGAAAAGGAGTGGACTATTATTTAGTGACTTTAGGCTCTGCAGACCTCTGACACACTCCATGAATTTTATCCAAGAAGTATTCAGCCATACAAAATTGCTGTTTTGTTTGTCAAACATAATCAACTATGAGCGATTGTATATGGTTTGACCTTATAATCAACGAAGTGGTGAGAAGACAGCTTTGTGAAGTCTACATCTTTTTGGTCCAGTTCAGGGGCTGGGGTGGCAGAAGGGAACAGATAGTCCCTGGGCACCTGCTGTGAGTCAGCACTACCGCAAGTCATTTACCGAACATTTCCTGTGTGTGCCGCTGGTCTGGGCACGGCACTAAACTCAGCGAGGACTGTGACCTGCCATGTTCAGGAAGAGAGCCACAGGGCTAGAATCCATGGCAAGGCCAGCATCAGGAGCCCACCTGTGCATGGCCTCACACAGCACCTGCCACCACAAACAGGCGCCATAAACAGGGGCTCCTTTGCTCCCTGCACTCCCCCAGCTCCAGGGTCTCCGCTGAGGAGGGGCGAGGGAAAGTCCTCCCCTGCCCCCGTCCTGCACTGAGCCCTCACACCTCAGGTGGAATGCTCCCTGGTGTATTCTCTGCTGGGAGCCAGTGACAACCTACAGGTCTGCAAGGCTTCTCCTTCCTTGGGTTCTCTTGCTCCCTCTAAATTCCTCTGGTGAACTGTCCTTAGAATGGGAGCTGCTCAGGTGTGGAGACATCTGCTAGTGTCATTCTAGGCCACTAAACAGACCCAGGCTCACCCAGGACGCCTGGACCCACCTGAAGCCAACCCTTCCATTTTACATTGGGAAAACTGAGGCCCAGAAAAGGGACAGAGTGAGCTAGTGGTCTGGCCCAGATGAAACTCAGGCCTCTTGACCCCTGGACCTAAGCTTTCTCCCACAGCTTGTGGCTGCTCTGAGGTGCCCTATGTGCTTCACAGCACGGCAAGGCCCGGCAGGGTTCATGAGTACGACTCCCTCCCCTCCCCAACCGTGGAAGGGCTCCTAGGAAGTGGGGCACTAGTAACGCTGCCCACAGCACTTGCCCAGTGAAAGGTCCTCTCAGAGCCTTGGGTCCCCATCTGTGAAACAGAGAAAAAACCTTGCATCTTCTCCTGCTCCCTGGGAAGAAAAGCCTCACCCTGGAAGCCTCCGTATTCCAATTTTAGGTCCTAGCTGCCCCGACGGGGTCCTGGACAGGCTTTCACCAGGTCCAGGTCTCCAAGAGGGGTTGCTGAACATCCCCCATTCCCGCAGCCGGGTCCCGGCAGCTCCAGGGTTCCCGGCTTCCTCTGATCCGTCCCGCCCCCTCACCCCGACGGGGTCCCAAGCGCCCCCAGCCCAGTTCCGCCGCGCGCCCTCACCGCGCCGCGCTCGAAGTCGTTGTAGAAGGGCTTGTCCAGCAGGTGCTTCTCGCTGCAGCCCGCGGAGCCCACGAGGCTGAGGTAGATGTAGTCGTCGGTGCCAGCGAACCACTGACTGCCGGTGGCCACGGTGACGGTGTAGGAGGGCATGGCGGCGGGCAGCGAGCGCCACGCGTCGCGGGTGCAGCAAGTTCTGGGAGCCTCCGCGCGCGGGTCCCCGCGGGTCTGCACCTAGTCTGCACCCGCGCGCCGCTTCCTCCCAGAGCCCGGCCCCGCCCTGCCCCCGCTCCGCCCTCCTGCAGCTCTGACCTCGCGGTGACCGCCTCGGACACAGCCGGAGTCAGCCGTTCCTTACTGGCTTGGCGTCTGTTTTAGTATTCAGGAGACTGGGGCAACCTCAGCTGCCATCCCTTCATCCATCCATCCATCCATCCATCCATCCATCCATCCATCCATCCGATCGTCCGTTCGTCCATCCACTCAGTCTCTCATTCATTGTTACCACTATTCACCCTTCCTTCCTGCCCCAGCTTTCCTCATTGCCAGGCTCCAGGGAGGGAATAGGGTTGGGCTCGTGGACCCCTAGCAAACGAGACACACTCCCTGCTCTCACCAAGTTCCTAGTGTGAGTGAGAGACTGTGCGACCGGGACAATCACCCATGCTGTGTGTTCTGGAAGTCCACAGCAGGAAGAGAAACGCACCTGGGGAGTCAGGAAGGCTTGCTAGACGAGGCCACACCCTAGCTGATAGTGAGGGTGAGCTGAGACTTCTGTCAGCATTGGCTTGCTCCACAGGCTTCACTGAAAATCTCTGGGCCTGGTGCAGGTGGGCACCCAGGTGAGTCAGATGCCAGCGGCGCTCGGCTGTGAGGCTGTCAGTGTATAGTGGGAGACAGGGCAGCGAGCGAGAGGGAGGCCAGAACTAGAAAACCCAAATCTGAACACCTAGGGGTTGTCTGGAGGAAGTCAGCGAGCTTTCAGAGTGGAGGAACTGAAGAAACTCATCAGATTTCAGTGCGGCTGGCTTTATTCGTCAAAAGACAGGCATCAAAAGGATTCTCTGGGAATCAAATTGGACATGAAAGGTTCTGGGCACCATTGAGATGGGAGCATATGAAGATAGCATAAAAGTGGGACCAGGCCCCTGCCAGGCAAGGTACGTGCTCCAGGAAACCCTGGAGGAGGTATGAAGGATGGCTATGGAACTACCCTTCAGATCCAAGAACAAAATGGCTATTATTTTTCTTTAAAAAGGAAATACAATCTATTTTTTGACAAAAATAATGAACTATTATTGTAGAAAATATAGAAAAGGTTGATACACGAACAAAATTCTTAACACACATAAAAAGCAATTCATAAAAATTGCATTAGACATTTTTATACCATTAAAAGTACTTTCTATGTGCAATTTCATGTCATATTTCCATTTTCCTTAATATTATAACATGTTTTTCTATGGAATCTCACTTTTTAAGTATTTTCAAAGATTGCATAATGTTTAATTATATGGATATACCACCATTTCTTTAATTAGTCCACTATTATAGGACATTTAGGTTGCTTCACCCATAAATAAATGTGGTACATATCTGGTGCTTAGAAAAGGTTAAGATAGGGATTTAGAAAACAACCAAAGTGTATGAGCATTTTGAGACTTTGCTACATGTTAAGCCACTTTCCCAAGGACTGTAGTAATTTACATTTATGCCATTTACTCTCATGTAGAACCTGGAATCTTTGTTTCATAGGAAGTTTGCTGTCATGGGGTAGTTTCCAAAGTATCTCAGTCTTTCTCTGCCCTTGTTCAGGCTTTCAGCATCTCCTGCATGGATTGTAACAATAGCTTTCTATCTAATAATCCCCCTACCTCCCCCTCCAATTCTCTAGCCAGAGTTATTTCCCTGTGACATAGGTAGGATCATCTCACTGCCTTACTTGAAGTCCATCATTGCTTGCTTTCTTTAAAAAATTTTACAACTTTATTGAGATGTAATTAACATGCCATGCAATTTACTCACTTATTGTACAATTTTAGTGATATTCAGACTTGTGAGACCATCACCACAGTGAGGTTTAGAACATTTTTATTACCCCATTAGCAGTCACTTCCCGTTTACCCCCTCATCCTCTAGCAAGGGAAAACCCTAATCTACTTTCTGTCTTTATAGATTTGCCTATTTTGGACATTTCATCTGAATAGAATAATACAACATGTGACCTTTTGTGACTGGCTTCTTCCACTTAGAACAATTTTTTCAAGGTTCACCCACATTGCAGGACATATCAGTATTTTATTTCTCCTTGATGCTAAATAATATTCCATTTTTATGGATATACCATACTGTGTTTATCCATTCATCAGATGATGGAAATTTAAGTTGTTTCCACTGTTGGGCTATTATTAATAAAGATGCCATGAACATTCGTGCATAAATTTTTGTGTGGATGTATGTTTGCATTTTTCTTGGGGAGATAACTAGGAGTGGAATTGCTGGACCGTAAGGTAGCTCTATGTTTAGCATTTTGAGGAAATGCCAGATCATTTTCCAAAGTGGCTTTACATTTTCATTAGTGACGTGGGAGATTCCATTTTCTCCACATCCTCACCAACACTTTATCTTCTCAGTGAAGTGGTATCTCATTGTGGTTTTGATTTGTACTTCCATAATTTTAAGGATGTTGGGCATTTTTTCATGCTTACCAGCTATTTGTATATCTTCTTTGGAGAAATGATAATCAGATCTTTGTCCTGTTTTAAAAACTGGTTTATCAGGGCTGGTCGAGTGGCTCAGTTGGTTAAAAGCTCCCTCAAGAGCTCTGAGCAACAGGGTCGCTGGTTGGAATCCCAACCTGAGCTGAGCTGCCAACAGGTGGCATGATGGCTCAGCTAAAAAAATAAATAAATAAAAATAAAAACTGGCTTATCTTTTCATTATTCAGTTGTCAGTGGTCACACATCTTGAATAAAAGTCCCTCATCAACTATATTATTTACAAATATTTTGTTGCTTCTGTGAGTTGTCTTTTCACTTTTTTGATGGCTATGTTTGAAGCACAAGTTTTTAATTTGGAGTAAGCCCAATTTATAGATATATTTTTCTTTTTTGCTTGCGATTTTAGTACCATATCTAAGAGCTATGTTAAGGTTACAAAAATTTACTTGCATGTTTTCTTCTATGAATTTTACAGTTTTAGTTCTTCATTTAGACCTTTGATCCATTTTGCTAATTTATGTATGGTAAGATATAGGAATCCAAATGAATTCTTTTGTGTCGCCTTGCAGCTGCTGACTCGAATGGTCCTGCACACTGATCCTTTGAAGTCTTAAGGAAGTGCCTTGGAATGCTGAGACCCGAGGGAATGATCTGGGTAAAACTTCCTTATCTGGTGGTCTCGGAATGCTGAGACCACCCGGGGGATCATACGTATGTGTGAAAGCACAACTCGTGTTTGATCACAGTAAGTTTCGGTGAAGCAGCTGCCTGCCTAATGGAATCAATTAACTGGGTATAGATATTCAAATTGACTTCTTTGTGACAGTTGTAAATAAAAGTTATTCGCCCTGCCAGTATCAGGGCTTGCTCTCTCGGTCTGCAGAGACCAGACCCCTGGCCCGCAGAAACTCTACTTACAACTCTTGTGATTTCTTAACCCTTCGCCGCCCCTCCTTGAGCGCCCCAACCCTTGTCACGCGGGACGTGATACTTTTGCATGTGAATATCCAGTAGTCCAGGCACCATTTTGAAAAAGACAACTCTTTCTCCATTAAATTGTCCTGCCACATTAATAAAAATTTAATTCACCATTAATGTAAGGGTTTGTTTCTGGACTTTTAATTCTATTCTATTGACTAATGTGTGTATCATATGTCAGTGCTACACTGTCTTGAATACTGTAAATTTATAGGTAAATTTTGAAATTGGGAACTGTGTATCCACCATTGTTCCTTATTTTTCAAGAATGCTTGGCTATTCTGTGTCCTTTGCATTTTCATATAAATTATAGAATCAACTTGTCAATTTCTGCAAAGAAAAAGCAAGCTGGGATTTTGATAGGGATCGCATTGAAGCTATAGATCAATTTGAGGAGTATTGCTACCTAACAACATTAAGTCTTCTGAACCAGGAACATGAAATATGTTTTAATTTATTTAAATCTTTTCTATTTATTTCAGTAATGTTTTGTAGTTTTCAGTGTATTTTTTGGTTAAATTTATTCATGAATATTTTATACGTTTTTTGAAGGAAAGCTATTTATTTATTTGTTTGTATATTTATTGTTTTTTCCTCCCAGCTTTATCCTGATAAAAAGATTTTTAAATTTTATTTTATTGACAAATAAAAATTGTATATATTTAAGGTATACAATGTAAGGTTTTTATATAGATACATTGTCACATCATTATCACAATCGAGCCATTGAACATAAACATCAAGTCATATAGTTACCCTCTCCCCTTTTATTTTTGGTATGGTGAGAACACAAGATATACACTACTAGCAAATTTCAAGTGTACAGTACTATTAATTACAGTCACACACTGTATATTAGATCCCAAGAACTTACAACTGAAAGTTTATACCCTTTGACCAACCTCTCCATATTTTCCCTCCCCCCAGACCCTAGTAATCTCAACTCTCTGGTTCTGAGTTTGACTTCTTTATATTCTACATATAGGAATATTCGTGAGATAATACAGTATTTGCTTTCTATGTCTGGCTTATTCACTTAGCACAATGTCCTCCATATTGTTAGAAATGGCAGGATTTTCTTTTTTTATGGCTGAATGGTACTCCATGTGTGTGTGTGTGTGTGTGTGTGTGTGTGTGTGTGTGTGTGTGTGTGTGTGTATCACATTTTTTTAATCCACTCACCCATCAACAGACAATTAG